TTCTAACTATAATTGTTCAAATTATATAAATTAATTAAAGATGGCTGCCGTTTCTATCCGTTTTCAAGATACGGCGTCGTGACATGTATCATTTGGCGATCGGTGACGAGGAAGACAAAGTCCGTAAAAACTGATCGGAGAGAATGGGGCCACCTGCCACATCATCATCCAATACTCAGCTACGCAAGAATGTAGAAATTCTTGACTACCTGATACATCGTTTTGCCCGACTTGGTTCTGCGGGAAAATCCCTGTTCTTCAGGGCCGTGTTTGAAAGAGAGCAGCGTTCTAAAGCTCGATCTACATTTCCGAATCTGAACGGCAAGAGATCTAAGAATGTATGTATAAAACCTAAAAGATTCGCGTCCCAAAGTTTCGTTCGTCAGCACAAATATGTTACACGATGATGAAATTATGACAAATGTGAAATTACACGCATCGAGTAAGGACAATGAACAAACAAATTGAATTGAACAATGAACGACCGAAAGGAAGAGGCAACGAAGCAAAGAGAGTAGAATAGGAAATTCACTGGTGTTTCCGACGGGCGTAGGAAAAGTCAGCACAGCCGCTGCGAGTTAGTACAGACGAAAGTAGAGAAACGGCACGTGTGAAAGTGCGAAAACAGAAGGGGCGAACAATCCGAGGTGTACGAGAATGGTCGGCGAGTGGGGACGAAGCCAAACGGAGACGGCCGATCTCGCGTACGCGGGATCGTGGCCGCCGCGCAGCCGGGGCGAAACGGTTTAAAAATTCACCGAGTATGCGTGATTTGTCACTCGATCGGTGATCGGTTCGATCGAGACGTTACATGGGAGAGTGCGCGACCGACTTGCATCGGTGCTCTATGGACCCGTCTGTCATTTATCGGTGTTTGCCATTTATCCGGCATGGGGATACGGTCGTTGATTTACTCGCGAGGCTATAAACGTAATCGTGGCTTTGATAACGAGTGCAAGCTCTAGTGAGACTTTGTTATAGTTCATTAACCAAAAAAAAAAACGGGAAGGGAATCAAATCGGTAACAATGGCACGAGAGAAGGTAAAGAAAGAGGCCTACAGTGAAATATCTCGAGTGTTGAAGTATACACTGTGAACGAGGAAACGAGAAAAATATTTTGATTGCTGCGGTCGCATTCGTCGTTTGTTTGGTAAATGATGATATTTCGTACAATCTGAGGGAATAGAGTAACGCATGATCGACAAAGTGTGCGCGATGTATTTCGAGCAGTACATGTTACGAAGCAACGCAGGTAAAGAGGTTTAGCTCGAGTCAGTTCTCAAGCCGAGAGTTCTAAGAACCGAGATCTCCGCGACAAAGAGACGACGGACAGTTAGGTCGCATTCTCGTTTAACCTCTCGCGCCGGAATGACGTGCCACGCACGTCGAGAATTTTTCGTCCAAAAATTGCAATATTGTCTCAGTTTTAAATATATTTAAATATAACCCAGGCAAAACAAATAATAGATTTCTAACTTCTTAGTAATATCATACCGACGAATTATTGTATACGGTTTGGTCACTCGTTATGGTCCGT